TGCGTCAGGTAGGTATGATGGGCCTGACGCCCCTGCAACGAAGTATCGGCAACATGCTCACGACCTCAAGCTCAAGTCCCGTTGTAGTTTGGGTTCCCCACACACACATAATACAAGCCCTCCAGTCTGACTCGATCCTGTCGTCCCCTAAACCTGTGGTCCTTGCCCTCTCACTTTGCTGGATGATTTCCAGAGACTTACTCTCCCGTCCACCCACGCGCAGTCATACACCTAACCTATTGCATGCCTTCAGGTCGCCCAGATGCAGCTCAACAGCACCTTCAAAGAGATGCCTTGCAAGAAGCAGCTTGAGTGGACGATTTGGACTGGCCCACATGCCGTACCACTCGGATGGAATGGCGACTTTTCTTTGAAGCCATTTGGTCCGAACTTCACAGTGTACTTCGAGCGCCTTCCCTATGCAAACTGTCAGCGGGAAACATGGGAGGGCTTCGACAAGACGCTGAAGGAATTCAAGACGTTCCTCCGAGAGAGGCTTCGATGCATCCGATACATGACTGCAGGCGTGTTTTCAAGCACTTTTCACACTCGCCGGATCGAGGAATGGACCATTTGACGGAGCAATGGGCTTCGACATGGGTGGCGAGTTCCTTGTGCACGTCGCCGGCTTGGCGACTGAGGGAGATCCTGACCTGAAGGACCGTTTTTGTGCACCATGGCCTGCAGTGAGAATCAATTAGGCAAACTTCCCTGCGGCGAGGAGGCATTCCGTTTCCTCATGCTGTTTACCAGCACGGCTCCCAAGCACCTTTCACCCATGGGCAAAGACCGCATCAAGGCACCTTTGCAAATTCCAACGATCTGTAGCTGGAGCAATTCGGATGAAAACCATCCGTGGCGGGCCTGCACCCTGAATCCGGTTCGTCCAATAGCCGTCGTTTCTCATGCCAGCAGGGGGCTGCACCTTAATTTGCGCCCATGCCGAGGTACATGGAGTATGAAGAGCTTCCATTGTTCATCCATCCAAACTTCAGGGAAGTGATAGTCCATCATGACGGGCACAAGCCGCCGATATTGAAGAAAGAACAGGCAGCTCCTAGGCGGAAAGGCTGTGTTTCGAAGTGTGGCATGACATACTACAGTGTGTGTGTGTGTGTAGGGAAGTTGCTGAGACAGAAGGTTTTCCGGCGTTTCGCACGAAGCTTGTCTGCATGTATTCGTGAAATTGTCGAAATTCCTTCATGCACTGTCATGACTGAGCCAGCTGAGCTACAGGCTTCCTGGATGCGATGGAGAAGGGAAGAGAATTTGCCCCTTCGGACCACAGCGACAATGCAGTGCGCTCGAAGCTTTGGTTGCCGGTGCAGCGATCAGCTCCAAGCCAGGCGAAGGCAGAGAAGAGGCCGGATGCCAGATGCGAAACTGGATGCTAAAGCACGTTCCCCAGCAAAGCAGGCGGTTGCTCGTCGTGCCGGATCCCGTGGGCGTGGGAGCCGACCTTCCAAAGGCCATTGAAGCCCTACAAGTTCCTTGGCGGTCCACTTCTCTGCAACCACCGAGGCCCTTACTGTGGCCGCGCTGTTGCAAGTCACATGCACCCTAGAAAGAACCTGGTCAAACCTAAATTCAGACCGTCTTGGCAATAACAACTTGCTTGTGTTTCTCTTCCTGTCAGTCGGTAGGTCCTTCAGCTACCATGTTGGACATCATATTTGTACCCCGAGATATCTCCAGAAAAAAGCAAATGCACCAGCCCTGCCTGATCATTTCCAGGGAGTCGTTTGCACTGATCTGCATTGACCTAGGCGATGCAAGCCAGAGGCGAGCCTATCGAAAGCCAGGGAGAGCCGTTTGTCAGCGGCGGCACGCCTCCCAAGCCAATTCAGCGCCTGGAGCTCTTGGCGCAGGTGTGCCAAGCATCGCCTGGGATTTTTCAGCAGGCTGCATCAGACTCATCAGCCATTGACGTTCAAGGTGCAATTCGGAAGCAACTAGTCCCTGACACGCAAGCCCTTTTTGACGGAAGCCCCGCAGGAAGGTGAAGGATGGAATTGGAGTGACGATACCGTCAAGAGACTAGTTGGCCTTCGACTCTGCATTCCTCGTCCAATGGGATTTGCGCACGGGCTTTTAGTACGACAGTTCGTCGACCAAAAGGGTCGAGCCTCCATGCTTGCCTAGTTTGTGAGGCCTTTGCATAAGTGGCAGAGAAACGACAGAACGAGTGCTTTCTTCATGCCCTCATCTCAGGTAAGTTTCACTGACGAGCAATCGAACATCCAATGGCACTGCAACAGTGCCGATGTCCCTTCACGACAACTGCTGAGCAAGGATGGCGACACTTGCTTCATGCAAGAGTTTATGCGGCTCGCACCTGTGCTCGGACAGGATATCATCGATGACGAGAAGCGAGACTCTGATGCGCAAGAGATGGCTCGACGATTCTTGGAGGAGCCGCAGCTGAATCTAAAAGGTCACCCACCAGAAGGGCATTTGTGAAGTTTTGTCACCAAGGATACCAAGGCTGGGGACGCGCCGATGGCTCTCGTGGGACTTGGCACCGGAGCCTTCATCGCCTTTGCCGTCGCTCGAGAACTTGTCTCCAAGGGCATCCGGCCCTTGGGACTTTGGTTGGTAAATCCACCGCTTCGCCTGCCCTGGTCATGCACCAGCGAACCCTGCATACTCAAGGCACAAGAGAGCATTTCACGAACGGAAGCTCTTAACATGGAAGTAACCGTTTAAGTTAAGGCATCTTAAGGCTGTGGCTTGGAGTAACTTTTCCTGACAGGACTGCCCCGTCCATGTGCTCGTTGATCGCGACTCCACGTATGGCCCGCCGTGGCGCTACGAGGTGTCGACCTGCGGCCCCTTCACCACACGCCTCTTCGAAGACCTGGAGGAGATGGTGAAGATTGTCCTCTCGGATGTACAGTCTTTATGAGATCGACCGACCGACCATGCCTGCCTCTGCCTGCCTGCTTTCAAGCTCTGATCGGAGTGATCCAGGGTGTAACGCAAGGCTGCCGCACAAAAGGCCGTCTCTCGCAAGGTTCCGTATTGCTGTGTGCATTCCTCCTGTGTGTGTTCGCTTAGGTACGCCTGAACGCAATGTTTCACACGGTGCCTGTTGAGGCCAATCATCATACCGAATTATCTTGCCAACCACCTAATGGACAAAAAGGTGTTGTGCGCGATCAGCGCCATCGGCACGGTTCCAAGTGTTGCATGCTGCCGTCCAGGAACCGAGAGCACTGCACCTTGCAGCAGAAGCGGAAGATCGACGAGGCATCCGGCTTTTCTCCCCTTGCACGCCTGTTCCTCTCGTTGCCGCGCGCGCGTGCTGTAAAGTTGGATCTTTGCGCTTCGGCAGGCATATTTCCACCCATCATATGCATCCGTGAACAGCGAGTGGTCGAAATCTCGAACTGAGGCGATGGGCCAATGTCGCTGCTTTTCCTGTCGGAAACCCTCATGACGTTGCTGAGCTTTTGGATTTCCAACACGTCAACTGAGGCAGTGCCCCGAGTCTTTTCAACTCCAGGCTGTCAGAAGTTGTGTTGGTGCAAATTTGCAGTTCGAGATCAGCTGCATTGACTTCAGCCTGGTTTGGAAGGCAACGGCTTTCTATGAGCAAGCGGGGTTGGCACTACTCACGTGTCAAGCTGAGTGTGCCTGGAAAGAGTGCTGCATGCGACTTTTCGCAGACTTCAGTGGGGCTTTCGAGCGAAATTGGGTTTCTCAGCAGGCTCTCGCGAAGTCTACCAGCTTTGCAGCTGCAAGATCTTGTGCGAGACCCTGTCCTTCATGCGCGAATGTGAGAAGGCCTTGGCGGCTCACCTGAGGCTCTGCCTTTCGCAAGAGCCGGATTGCTCGACCGCGTACAGCTCTCACGATGCTGCAATGTGGTGTGGAGTAGCTGGTGTGCATGTGCACAGAATGGGTGATGCACGACGAGTGAGGCTGTCCCGTTCGATCTCCTTACAGAGGATACTCGACACTTCTTCAAGGCTCGCATCGATGCACCGGAGCTTAAGAAGCCTCGGATGTTAGGGCTCGTACATTCTCAAACATCATTTGAAGCAGCAAGGCTACATGAAAGCTTCCTCCTGTTTAGCGTCTAGCGCTCTCTCATATCAGGAAATGGAGACACCGACAAAACAAGGCAGATGCATCCCAACACCCGCATGCCCAAGCTTGAACACAACTCTTACATTGAATTTCAGGGACTGTTGGAGACAACACTTCCGTTGACCAAAACATGCGAGGGGCCTAAGGGCCAGGACGAACAGGCTCAAAAGCTCAACATGCATCTATTGAGTTTTCAGTGCTCCATGTGCTCCGCGACTGTTTGTCTCAGACGGCTGCACTGGCTGCCCCACCGCCACCGCTGGCAGCTTTGACAGACACCCGCGCAAGATGGCACATCATGGCAGCACTGGACAAGCTCGTTGATTGAGGTCACTGCTGAAAGTGCTCGGCACTTGAGCATGCATTGAATCACACAGGCGCCGGTTATGTTGTGTCAACACGTGTACTCCGAGGCAGGCTTCATCCATTCAGGCCAGGATTCGCCTGGATGGTCTGTGCAGACCAGAGTCGACAATGTCTTCAGGAGCTGGCCGACGACGGGGCGCCAGGCAACGAAAGTTTCCGTTGGTATGGTGTGCAATGACTGGGAAAGAGGCCACGGTAGAGCTCTGCTCAAGTCGGAAGAACGGCCACATTGCGGCATAGGTCATGGATCAAACGCAATTAATTCGAGGCGGCGGAGTCTAGGCCTTCTCCCAATCCGACGATGAAACCGGGAACATCCTCTTCAGCGAGTCTGTACTTGCGCCGCACATGCAGAGTGATCCCCAAATAAGCTTAAAGGTTTGCATAGACGCAGATATCCCTGTTGCATTCTGGCTGCCAAGTTTACATGCTTTGCCCGTCTTCAACTGCATGTCCGCGTGTCGGTTAGGGGTGAGGGCTGCTTTCCAGACTGTGTTTGATTAATCATTAATCAGGTCAGCGTAGATCCCAAAACAGTGAAATCGGACCATACAGCAAATCCACCAAAAGAGCCCGTTGCAAGCGCCTGTGCACGCACCACCACACGCACCTGGGTCCACGAGAGGGCCAGGAGACCGGGACCATCACGACGACCAGGACGACCTCTGACGAGACCAGCAGAGATTCAGGATCACGGCCAACATGCTTCCCCCCAACTAGCGGGATTCAGAGACGTGACCTGGCTACTTCCCACCTTCTGCCGAAATAATCCCGGCACTGAACGAGAACCCCGCAGCGTGCACCACACTGTTTGGCAATGGTGCCACACTCAGCGTGGTTCTAAAGGCAAATATGGGTGGACTGTTTTAAGATGCCTTGGCTCAGTAGTGCAGGATCGCTTAAAACAACGCAGTGCTGCCTCCCAGCTGATTGGCAGAGATCGGCATAGTCTGGGATCAAAAGAAGCACGGGTATGTAGTGTGAAAGCTTCACACATTACCCACACCTTGTCTCGAATTTCCCTTGCGGCACGGCGATTGTTCGGGTAATTGGGAAAGTCGAAGAACGCAGCGCACGCGCAGGCAGTTCAGTACTGTGATGGTAAGGGACTGATGCTGAAGACATGGAACGTAGAAACATGGCGCAAGCCTAGTGGCCTAGTGCTTGCCCTAGACAATCATGGCGCTGGCACATGGGGGCCGGCATTAAGACATTAATATACAATCCGATCAGAGGAGACGCCGATGACCAGTCGGCAGCTGGGAGGCAGTCCGCAATTGGATCAGATAGCGGGCGCCAAGCTCAGCTGCAATAACATGAGTCATGGAGTCATGTCGTCTTTCCAAGGCAACTTCTGCATCTTTGTCCAAGGTGCTTGTTGGACCTCCTCTTGGAGGACACGGGACAGACCAGGCTGGCAAGTAAAGTCATATCTCTGCAGCAGGGACTGCTTTGGCAGGAGTTGCAGTCTCTGGGTGCAGCGAACGAACTTGCAGCTGGAAGGAGTAACGTTTGTGTTTCCAATGGTTGCCCATGCCCATTCGCAGTCCAACTCGCTTCAAAGCTCGCAAAATGCGGAGGCATGACGGCGCACGTTTTGCCAGACTGCTGCTTGCTTATCTAGCGCGTTTCTTTGCACTGTGGCTTGCAAATGTCAGCATGTGCTGTGTGAGCCTCTCTCGTGGGAAAGTTACTTTTTGAATGCTATGAGACAATCAGTAAATAGGATGTTCGAAGTTGCTGACGACCATTGAAAATTACATTCTGAAGGCATTGATTGTGCTTGCGAATGCTTCCGTGATTTCGCCGGGTGGCACCAAAGCTGCTAAAATTCCTCAAGGTTCACGATATTCTCCGGGGCTGTCATTCTCCAGTTGCTAAAAAGTGTTGTTATCGCCTGATTTCGTTTGGCTGCCTGGTGGCGTTGACCTCGGCGATGTCATGTTGTTATGCAGGCAGGCATCTTAACAAGAAAGAACAACTCCAACACACACGGTGGAACAGCGGGGAGCCGCTTTGCTTTTGGCTTGGCCTATCGACTGCACGGTTCTTTCGTATCCTTTTCGTATAGCCTCCCGTGCAAAGCTTCCCGTTGCCAATGTGACCATCGTCCAGAAATATCTTCTTTGTTCGACTTCATTGCTGCCATCATGTCGATCGATCCTGCTCAGCCCCCCAAACGAGTTGTACCGTTGAGTTGCGTAATTTGGTCAGCGCGGCACCATGCTGTCAGTTGCTGTTGGGGTAGGGGATTGCTTGCCTTCGGGGCCGTCTTAACTTACAGAACCAGCCACCTTCGTCAAAATCCTCGAAATGTCGATGACTATGCGGCGATCCTGATAGGTTGACACCTCTGCAGATACCGGAAGATGGACAACTTGTAATTGGGAACAAGCACCCGGGAGAAAGAGCCTGCCGGGGTTAACTTCCGCCGCCGAAGAAGGGCTCAGGCATTGACTACGCTTCAAGTGGCAGTGACCGTAAGCTCCCCATCCCCAGGTTGAGGGTGTTGTGACCTTCATCCTGGGAAGTGGTCATGCACAACGAGTTTTTTCAGCTGGTCTTCAATTGCAACCGTCGACCTGCAGCGTGCAGCAACCATGAGGCTAGCAAGATATGCCGGCCTGTTGCCGGCAGGCACGACTCGGAACAGTCTTGTTTGCCAGACTGCGTGCATCCCGTCGTCAGTTTGGCAGGTAATGCAGAAGGCTCTTCCGCGAGGCAAGGCTCAGCGACGTTGAATCACATCGAAGGTTTCAAACACATTCAGGTTCGTGGCCCCGGCTGTGCTAGATCCGATCCTAAGGCAGCAACCGACTGGTATGCGTTGCGCCACACAGTCGATCAACGACGTTGCATGAGGTGCCTGGGAGTTGTCCTGAAAGACTCCGCCCGAAGTTTGTGGTGATCTCAGTGTCGGGAGCGGTTGCTCCATTGACGCTCATCTTGCGGTCGTCTCGCGAGGACCTTTTCCGACCTTGCGGCTGCTTTGGAAACACTTGCGACTTGGATGATGGCACTCAATGCATCTCAATGCCGACCGAGAGCGCTCTTCCTTGCACTGAGTGCTTACAGGCAGACGCTGGGATTCGGCCGCGCAGTGTACTGGAGGTGCGATCCGCTGCGAGCCCTCTGCCTGCACTGATCCACAATAACTGCATGTCACACCTCGCGAGGCACTGATGTCTGCAGCAGAGGCATCCCGAGTGCTCATGGTTTGAATGTAGATGCATACGCTGTTTCGTGCAATTTCCATGAAGGCTTGCCAATTTCCTGCTGTACAAGATGATGCTGCAGCATCCGCGTACTTCTTGGGTTTTCCTTGCTTAGCTGCCTCTGTGGCAAGCAAAGTCGATATCCTTCCAGGTTGCTGCGCTGCTGCACGGTTGGAGAGCTTCAGGCGCTCCGCATGCTTGCGGCTGTGGCTGTGCAGAATGCTCCGGCTGTTTTTGCTTTTTTGGTGCAGTGCCGCCGTGCCGTCCAACACTCACCACGGCAGCAAGTACCGGTGTTCCAGTCACAACCTTTGCTCTGCTAGCCTTTGGCCTGACGAACTCAATCGTTGAAATGCCCCCGGCCTCGGCACGGCAGAAAGAACGATTTCACACGAGTTAAAAGTCGCGTGAATAAGAAGAGGGGCGGAGTCAAGGAAGGCCGGGCAGGGCACTAGCAGTAGCAACATTCGCCTGCAGATGCTCAGCCTGCCGATGTTTGGACCTCGTGGTGGTAGCGGCGGCGGCGGCGGCCGCGGTGGTGGTGGTTTGGTGGTGGTGGTGGTGATGGGAGGTTTAGGAATGCAGGGGCGGTGGGGTTTGAGGAAGATGTTGGGGTGGGGGTCGTGGTCATGCAACCCACCCCCTCCCCGCTTGAAGCTACCACGAACTGAGAACTCTCAACCAGAACAGGCTGGGCCAAGTTTTCCGATGCCTCCGAATCAGGGCTGGTGCGGAATCAGCGGCTCGTGTGGCTGCTGGGTGGCGTGGTCGATCGAGCTTGGTGCTTTGCTGCTGTGCGCGTCCTGACTTCAAACGTGGATCCCACCGTTCCAAAGCTGGTCTGTTTTGGGATGCCGGTTCGCTACTGCGATCTTGGCTGGTTGGCCGTGCAATTGGAGTCTGCTAGTCTGGAAGTTGCCAGTGCCCAGGGTTGTCTTTTAAGGAGCCGTTGGCTTCCGTGCTGCAGTCATCTGCGCTATTCTGCGCTGAGCAGGGTTTACAGTTTAGACTTGCGCCTCACACAAACAGCTGGCTGGGCGGATGCCTTGTCGCGTGGCCGCACGGTGGCTGGAAGCGTCAACAGTTGGGCCAAAACCCTGGCGATGGGGCCAAAAAGTCTCTGCAGGCGGTTAGGGACAGCTGGCCTGGGGCCGTCCTGCCCCCGCCAAGAGTGGCCGCCCACGAAGTCTGGAGATTGAGGGTTGGGTCACGTGCGCGTGGTATGGCGACCCCTTACTGCCGTCACAGGTGGTTGCTTGCTTGTTTGGCTCGGCTCAAGCACCGCACTTTGTGTCGGCACGTGACGCCTGCAGCCGGGTGGGGGCCGTCGGACTGGGAGTGGCCGCGTGATGCCGCGTGTCACTGCGTGTGCGTTCAGAGTCGTGTGACTGTCCTGCTCATCGGCCCGATGACAGGGCCGAGACATCGACAGCGACCGCGGGCATGCGCTCTTCCCCAGTTGTGGAACCACCGATGCGTTGTCTGTGCATGTGTAGGGATTGAGGCTTCCTACTTGTCATAACCTGTTTATGTACCGTTGATTTCAACATTTGTTCAACTCAGCTTTGTTTAACTCTGCCGGTGCAGGCAGGGACACTGCGGGGACTCACCTCACCAGCCTAATCCAGATGGGTGGAGGAACATTCAAACTTCATTCCGATCATAAAAATGGGATCCCTGGGCAAGCTCGCACTGCTTGACGATCTTTCCGAGCAGGGGCCAGCAGGTTGACGGGGTTCCGATTTGGAGGGAGCATCTGGCCGGGGCCTGACTGATAGAGTGCCGTAACTCCGTGTTTTTGTTTGTGCTGGGAAAGCAGCCAGGGAAACCAGGCTCGCCAGGGCGATGTAGGTGGGGAATAGAGCCACTGCTATCTTTCTCGAGAACCCTTGCAAACCCCGAACAACGGCACCCCCTCGAAGCTGGGGGAGCGTTGCAACTCCCTGCTTGTGCTGTAGAAAAAGAGAGGGCAGCAAAGAAGACAGCAGCAGCAGGGGAACCACAAGGGGACCCTAGAAGGCGCAGAGAAGCAAGCAGCAGCACCCAGGCCCCGCCACCGCAAGACGACGACACAACGCTGTGGGATGGCCTGTACCACACGATGCTGATATCCCATGGCGGTGCACCCAGGCCCCTCACTTTCCCACCCGAGCTGTTCATCGACAGGGGAGCCGAGATACATATGCGCAGCTACCCCCATGGAGTTTGGGCGGGGGTTGTGATGGTCCAGCATTCCCGCAGGTCGCCCGACTACCACGACAACCAGCGGGGGTTCTACCGAGTGCGCCTCAACCGGCGTGAGGGAGGGGAGGACCCGCCAGGATACATTGCAGTGGGGACCGCGTTCGCCCTTTTCCCCTGGGGGGCTATAACCAATGGCAAGCCCGTTAAGTGGCTAGTCCACATCACAGCCACAACAGCCCAGCCGGACGCTGATGCCACGGAACTCCCGGTGGGAACAAGCTACACCTTGGAAAGGCGCAGGGGGGAGGAGGGGTGGCAACTAGGCAGGCTCCAGCCAAAGCTGGCACTCCAATACTTTTACGATTGGGGAAACATGAGGGGTACCGGCGCCATCTACTGGGGGCTGCCGGGAACCTGGACGCTACCACCCAGCCACTGGGAGCAGCTCACGGCGCAGCTCATACCATCCCCCAGCCAGGTCCGCCACCCAGTCCTCAACCCCACCTTTGACCACTCGGAAGGGGACCCCACCACCAACCCACAGCCGCAGCCACAGCCCAGCCCGCCACAGATGGCCCAGCAGCAACAGCAACCGGGGGCACCACCATTATAGGGGGAGACAGCGATCCCAATGCACGACGCCACCGCCCTGCAGGACACAGCACAGACAGAAGGGGACGAGACGCACATGATGCAGCACACACAGCTCGATGACAGTGTAGCTTCCTCTAGCCATGGGGGGCAGCTCTTTCGGCGCCCGGAACCTCGCCGGATGCCAAACGCGGCAGCCATGGTGCGGCACTGGCTTCGTGAACTCGCAGCTCTACTCCGGCAACGACGAGTGGGGGACAACATGCCAGTGCTAATCGAGCTGGCCTCGCAAGCAGTGGGGCGGAGCAAAAGAGAACCAGAAGCGTGTGAGAACGGAAGCGTTGCTGGGGGACCAACCAAGAAAAGGCGGATTATGAATTCGCTGTCGGTGGCACGCATGCGGCTTCAAGACCTCACCGAGGACGACGATATGGATGGCCTCAACGAGCATCAAATAAGACACGGTCTTGAGCAGGCCTACTACGACTTGACAGTGGGGGACAAACTGCTACAACATGCTACCCGCAACCAGTGGGGGTATCAGGTGCAGCAGGGGTACCAGGGGCCTGCACAGGCTCAAGCGGCGGTGCAAACGGCGCTCTCAGCCACTGTAGAGGGAGACCTCGACTGGCATGTGCCGGGCTGGGGACAAGCGGTCGTGATCCTGCTCGAGGACGCGGAGCAGTTACTTGAAGAAGAAGGACAGCTGGATTTCGTACACCCGGCTGACGTTACAGCCCTGTCGGAGGGGGCCCAGGAAGCACTCCCACAACCGATGGGGGACTGGGGCCAACAGCTGGACAGACTACTTCGTGATATTGGGGGGGTCATGAACTTTGCCACTGCGGGGCACGAAGAAGTGAGACAGCTGGTGGCAGCGATACAGGTGTGGAGAGCCGCAGAGCGACCGGAAGAGGTCGTCGAAGTCAACACCCAGACGACTGAAGACCAGGGGGATGAAGCCCCCCCAGCTTCGGGGGCACCACCGTGGAGGCCACCGCTAGATGTGGAACAGTGGCCGGGCAGCGTGCCCTCCTCTGCAGATGATGGGGGCACCCAGACCAGCGAACCGGGCTTCCCCACAGACAGTGACCTCTTGGACGCGTTGGAGGAATACGAAAGACAAGAACAGGGGGAAGCCCAAGAAGCAGTGCGAGCGGAAGAAGCTGTGAGAACTCCTGAGGGGGGCAGCCAGAGTGAGAGCAGCCACCGTCGAAGACGGTTCGTAGCAGCAGCAGGTGCAACTGGGGGGGCACACACCTGAGGTTTGAAGGTTACTGCAGTGTTCTGTCACAGCCTCGTTTCGGGAAGCCTCTTGTGCGGTTGTTTGTTGTCAAGCCCGAGCCTCAGTCAGTGCAGTGCCTGTGGTGTACAGTCAGAGAGTCGCGGTGCTGCAGAGTCCCAAGGAACCTAGTCTTCTACCAGTCGTCTTGCTCAGCTCTGTTAGGCATGCGTTTTATGGGGGCACTCAGGGAGCACAGCGAAGGGAAATAGGTGGCACCGAAGCTCAAATGGGGGGACATATTTTGCAGCTGCATGTGATGTCATGTTGTTGTGTTGTGCTGTGTGCTTTCGTAAACCTCCAGAGCAAAAGAGTTGTGAAGAGCACAACCAGCTGCCAGTAGGTGAACAGAACAGGTGCCAGCCTAAAGATGAGGCCTGGGGGGTTACCTAGTTTCTTAGGGTAGGGGGGATACAAGAGTGGACCTTCCGCTGGCCTCATCGAGCTGTAGTCTCACACAGGATCCGAGACTCACAGTGCGCGCTTGCGTGCGAGGGGTAGCGCCTGCTGCTCCTTTGGCTGTGTGGAAGAAGAGAGAGAGAGAGAGAGAGAGAGTCGCATGTAGGCAGCTGCAGTCCTAGCACCAAATCTTGTGTTCAGGTTGTGTTGTCTTCGGCAGGTCCCCTGGGGTTGCTTTGCGAGTTTATCATTCCTGGTTGTCATTCTGATTTTGAGGAGTGCAGCTGTAGAGGAAACCAACAAAGCGGCATGTCAATCGTTGCATCCTTCCTTGTTCAGAGCCGCTTCTGTGTAAACCCGATGCCATGCTAGCGAGGGTAAACTGATTACATCAGTCTAGGGGGCTTACCCCTTATGTTGCTTCTATCTTTCCTGAACACAGTTTCCCTGGGTGTGGTATGCACTGAACATGTTGAGTGCCAAAAAAAGCCTTGATGGCATGTTCGATCTTTCACCACTGCCCTCCGCAATGGTCGGGAGCGCCGACGGCGCTCGGGCAGGGGGGCAATCCTCTCGGCCCTATATAACCCTGCCGAGAGAAAGAGAGAGTCGCAACATGCTAGAACAAAAAGCATCCCTCCCAGTTCGTGCGGCATAACATGCCCCCATCTCACCCTTTCCCTCCCCAACCGTGGCAGGTTATTCCCGTCCTAGCAGCTGCTCCTTTGTGCCCGGAGTCTGTTGTCGGCTCCGTACATGCATGGAAGGACAGCAGCTGAGCCCAACCCTACGACAACGCCTTAAAGACTTCTTGTCCCAACTCGAGGCCGGCAGTGATGTGCTGGGGTAGTGCGGTGTGACACGCGAGACCCTACACTGTAGGCCGCGGGATCTTCCTTCTCGATGTTGGGTCATGGACTCGGCCAGCCTAGCAGTACCTTGATGCCTGTGCCGGACGTTGTTGCCTGGACATGTCGCATCAGGCGATCGGCCATTCCGTGTTGCAGCGCGCATTTTGGTCAGCTCGGTTGTGGTTTGCAAGCTTGCTGTCAGACTGTCACGAAGTCACGAGAGATGTCCCTCAACGATCTGGCTGTCTGACTCGTCTACTGTCTCGGGTGTCGGCAGCAAGTGCAACCCTCCTAACCGAAATAACCGACGCAGAGAAAGATGCTCCGTGGAAAAGAGCAGTGGAAATTGAATGCATTGGCGACTAGCTTGGTTGATATTAGAGTCGAACGGTAGAAGTAGATCAGCTCGCTCAGAACATGTCTACGGTTTGGCCATGAAGAGCGTAGCCCACGTGCAAGGAGACTAGTGACTCCTACCGTAGCTTCGAAAGCCTGTGGGGCACCTGCCCGAAGCCATGGTGAAGCAGCTCGCCTAGCGCGCGGCCCATGATTCCGGAAGCATGGACTCAGCCACGCAGGCGGCTTGGCCTAACCGAAGCTCAGCTGCTGTCGTGCAGAACGCCAGATTTACAGCCTAATCCATGTTTGGTTCAACAGTTCAACGCTGCAGGTTTGCGGATGGTGTGCTCCAGACAAACATGAGGACTGCACAGTGGCGTCATTACCTTCTGCCCCACGTCTTGGTCTACCTACCACATGCCGGGTCGGGCAGCGCAGTCATGGTCGAGTCATGTCCGTGTGAGTGGCCTTTTGTGGCAGTCCGTTCAAGCCAAGACACAGTCAAGCCATTAGTGTCGATCTCTTCAGCCGTCAAGCACATCCTCAAAAGATCTCGTTTGGCATGGAAAACTCGCGCTGTCTCCGAGTGCAGTGCTGCATTCAACTATTTAGAAAGATGTCGCACACGAAAATGTGAGAGTGCGGGAATTCACCATGACATGGCGAGCCTTCTACTCGTAGCCTCAACAAAGCACAAGCCCCCATGGAAATTTGTCTAACTTCTTACAGCGGTAAACTTGCAGGAAAGATGTTCTGAAAGTTCGATTGGTCATCGGTCTCCTCACAGTCCGATGCCCGGCCTTTGGTTCCTGGCGGTGTGAACTGTGTGGCATCGCCAGAGGTCGCTACTTTGGGAAGTTTCACTTCGATCATGGCCGAGGGCTCTCTGGTTAATACACGGCACAGGGCCTCCTTGTCCCTCGACTTCAAAAAGAGCAGCTGACAGGGCTGAATCAAGCTTTTGTGAGATGATGGTGCTAAACAGCAAGCTTTGACAAGACCGCATTTGCACAAAGGTGTCGAGACTGGAAATTCAGGGAAGAAAGCATGCAAGATTGTAACGGAGCTTGGGCTGCACTGGTGGTGTGTGCGCTGCTGAGCCGTTTGCCTGCAAGAGTGGGACATGCAAGGTGTAGTCGTGTCTTTCCCGACAGTGGTCCTCATTACTTCCATTCTGTCGTTCGTCGGAGCCCGAGAAGACAGCCCTGGAACTGACCGGTCTGCAAGCATTTTATACTCAAGGCCACTCTTGCCAGCCTCCTATGGCTCGCAGTCCACATGGTCACATCTGATCTTACCAGAGGTGGAAGCGACACTCGGCTCCGTGAGACCTTGACTTTTGGAGACAAACACAATGACTGAACGGATTGAACATGCAAGTTCGCCCACGCGCGCAGTCTCAAACTTGGTCCGAGCGTGTCACAGCTCATTCGGACCACATGGATGTATGTTCAGCTGCATCTGCTGACAAGAATTTGTCAACCATGCTCGTCATCTATCTCGTTATCAAGGCCGAGTCTCTCCACCTTGGGACCTGCTTGAATTGCTTTCTAATGTGTCGAGAGCCATGCACGTCTTGAGTTCTGTCGGTTGCAAGCCTACCCAGCAGCCCATCTCGAGCATTGCAGGTCATCTTCCTGGGGCTTCATGCCACATTTATCGTGATGACCTGGCACTCGAAAGTAGCAACACCGCAGGGATTTGGATTCACGATCCTGGGAATTGATATAGTGATGGCCGCTTGCCGTGAACAAGGGATACTGGCGCGGCCTCATAGGGGTTTATGGTCGGCCCTCACATGCTGGAACGTGCTGCACGCAGAATCTGGGAAATCTGTTCGACTAAGGTCATGCTTGCTTCCTGTACATGGGCGAAGGTTGTGCGCATGCAGCAGCGAATGACAGAGCTTTGACTGCCTTGCAGGATTTGTTGACAGCGTGGAGGAATGCACTAGCTTTTTCGGACCAAGGAAGCAGTCCGATCTCGCAATGCGGAAGCTCGAAGCGCTTGCATGCAGAAGTTACCGACTGCTGCATACAAAGACATGCCAAGCCCTTTGGGGCTGCCCAGGCACGTGCTACTGGGAGAGCCCATGCGTAGCTGACACAGTGTTGTAGACAGGTGGGCTTACATTGAGATTCACAGAAGTTCAGCTTATCAGAATGAGCGCTTCTGGCCGCCATGGCATGGAGTTTCTGCACGAATCAATAGGTTGGAGTCGTGCTTGTAGTCTCATACCGGTGAATGAAGGCTCCGTGCAGTGTCGTGCTGCTTTTGTGACAAGGTGATAAGAGCTTGGGCTTGACTTCCTGTTAGTGGCACATGCCGTCGTAATCCAGAGCATGCAGGCTCCAGGAGAATTGCGTCATTTGCCTCAGCGACTTCGAGCCAAATTGCACAGTCTTTCGGTGCTGCAAACAAGTGCGTCCGACGAGTGTGAGTGGGGAAGCGAATCGGTCCAAGACAGCAAAGCACGGAAGATTTGAGATAGTCGATGGTCACAATCAGATTGCTTCGAACAAGATCGGGAGCGCCCATCGCTAGACTGCGGCAACGAGTCCTTGCCGTTGTTTGTGCACGGTCTTACGGGAAGTGGTTTGAAGAGACCTGCAGATGTGGCCACGCAGGTTACTCGACTTGCATGCGGCCATGTATTTCATGCTGCTTCGGTCGCAGGAAGTGAAGAGCAGGCGTTGAGGATTCCCAACTGCAGAGACTCTGGAGCGCGTTGTATCCTCTGCAGGCGACCTGCATTAAGAATTGGCTGGTCGATGCTGCACATGACAGCTGCCCATATCGTTGCCAAGAAGACCCTTTGGAGATTGATTCTTGGTCTGCAATGCTTGAGCGTGACTGCTGGAGTGCGACAGCTGCGTCTTTTGCGACTAACCGGCAGTTGGCAGCGGATAACAACAATACTTGTAGGGCTTTCAAGCTGCCGCGTCCAGGCGTCCAGCATGTGATTGGTTATTATTTAGACGCTGCCTCTAACAGCAAATGGAGGGCTCTCTTTACAAGGGAAGAGCTTGCTAGAATGATATATACTTGAACACTTATCTGTAAGGCTATTGAACACTTATTTCAGGGTTATTGAACACTTATTCCCGGGTTATTGAACACTTATTTCTGGGTTATTGAGCACTTATTTCTGGAGTTATTGAACAGTTATTTCTGGGATATTGAACACTTATTTCTGGGTTGTTGAACACTTATTTTGAGGCATATTGAACACTTATTTCTGGGTTGTTGAACACTTATTTTGGGGGATATTGAACACTTATTTTGGGCGATATTGAACACTTATTTTGGGCGATATTGAACACTTATTTCTGGGGATATTGAACATTGGTTTCGGGGCATTTGGAATATTTTTTCTGTGGAGGTTGAATAAAACAGTACTGAGCAGGTGTTACCTGGGAGGGGGGGGGTGACAAATCAGCACTGAACGAGTGCTTTGGACCCTGCTTGCTTAGAGATTGAGAGAGCTTTTGGACATCATAGCCGATATCGGCTTTCAGTCGGCATGGATTTGCTCGACAGTTAACTGGGGCCTTTAACTGTGTAGCTACGACCTCACCAGGGCCCGGTTGGGGTCGTAGCTGAAAAATAAGCGCCCCGGTTAACTGTTCAGCTACGACTCCAACCCGGCCTGGTTGGCTTCGTAGCTGAACACTTAACCGGCCCGGTTAACTGTTCAGCTACGACCCCATCCGGGCCTGCTGGGGTCGTAGCTGAACAGTTAAGGGCCCCAATTTAATTGTTCAGCTACGACCCCACTGGTCACCGGGCCCGGATGGGGTCGTAGCTGAGCAATTCAGGGCCCCAATTTAATGGTTCAGCTACGACCCCAACCGGGCCCTGGTGGGGTCGTAGCTGAACAGTTAAGGGTCCCAATTTAACTGTTCAGCTACGACCCCAGATGGGCCCTGTTGGGGTCGTAGTGTCGTAGTTGAACAGTTAAGGGCCCCAATTTAACTGTTCAACTACTACCCAGGAATTGCTGTTTTGTGGAGAGCTTCAGGAAATTCATTAGGCTGGGGTCGTAGCTGAACAGTTAAATTGGGGCCCTTAACTGTTCAACTACGACCCCACCAAGGCCCGATTGGGGTCGTAGCTGAACAGTTAAATTGGGGCCCTTAACTGTTCAGCTACGACCCTACCAGGGCCCGGTTGGGGTCGTAGCTGAACAATTAAATTGGGGCCTTAATTGTTCAACTACGACCCCACCAGGGCCCAGATGAGGTCGTAGCTGAACAGT